CTGCTACGAACATTTGTGCACAAGTACTCGTGTGAGCATGTATTTCAATTTCCTTGGATATAAACCTAGGAGTAGAATTTCTGGCTTGTGTGATAACTCCATATTGACCTTCGTTGACATTTTGGATGGGATTATTCTTTGTTTTGGGGAACTGTCTTATGCATTGTTAGATCTTTAGTGGGATTACTGGTCTCTACCTTAAGTAGCTGCCAGCTGTTCTTGCCCACCCCACAACTGTGACGTTTAAAATTGTCTCCAGGTATTACCAGGTGTGGCACAAAGCCATCCCTGGTTGAGCACCACCGGTTTGGAGTGTTCATTGTGTTATTAAAGAGAATACAAGCCATGACACTACTATTCCTTTGAAACATTTCCTCTCTTTGGAAACTTTCTCCCTCCTCATCCCCCAATGCTGATTAACTAACCCCATTTCCCACCATTTCCTCCTTCCCTTATTTAGCATCTTGATTAAGTATCTACCTGGCTTCCCATGCTGTCCTCACCCTGGGATGGGAAAGTAAACAAGATAAGCAAGGTTCCGGCTTAACAGCTTCCTCTTCCTCCTCCTCCTGTTCCTCACCAATAACAAACATCTATTGGTGCAGGCTGTGTAGAGCTCATGTGTTCTACAAATTTACAACCAAAGTCTGTTAGAAGCCATTAAGTCCATGCCTTCGTGCACACATGACATGAGGAAGACAGGAGCCGGGAAAACAGAGAGGGGAGCAGCAGAGAAGGCCAGAGCAGAACTCTGGCCAGAATCCAGGCATACTGATCCCACAAACACCTTCTTTGCTTCCATTACTCAGGGCCAGCTGTGTCTGTCCTGAGACCATCAATGCCCAGGTTTTCACAGGGTGCCTTAGAGCCCAGCCTGAAAAAATACTGTGCAAGCCCATGGCATCATATTTTATTTTATAATATAAAAACTTTCTTATTATGGAATCTAAAAGAGTTGTCCAAGGGAAGAAAGACTAGAAAATGCTATCACACCCTTCTTGATTTTATTCTCAGAAGCTCTTGGTCTTAGTGGCTTTTAATGCGCTTAACTGTCTGACTCAATCTATTTATGTAGCCTCATGTCCCGTCCTCCTGCTATCCTGAGAAATCTCCCCCGTTTCCCCATGTCTTTTCATTGTGTACATGTACCCCTCTGACTGCAAGTACCCTCCTTCCTTCTGTACTTGAGGGACTCCTACTCATCCTTCTGTTCCCAGGAGAAAGGTGCCACCTTTGGAAGGCCTTGCTGGTCTTCTTGGGATTTGCAGGGTAGTCCTCCTCAGCAGCCACTTCCACAGCATCTTGTGCATGACTCACCTAGAGTGCTTGTCCCTGGAATGGGGCTGATTTGTGGGTGTGAGATCTTTGAGTACAAGACTGGTGTTCTGTCGCCAGCCCAGCTCAGTGCCCGGTGTGCAGTAGACACTGTGTATGTGCAGGGATGAGTTCCTATATCATTGACATTTCCTCCCAGTCTTCCCCGTTTTGGGAACAGGACAAGCCCTCCCACCTGATCCCTGCAGTGGCAGGAGGCTGAGAAGGAGCAGAGTGGGCCAGCCTCAGGATTTCCCCCAGCACCTGCCTCATCTGCTATGTAAAAAGCAGATAATCCTGGTTCCAGGTGGGGTGTAGCCCAGCAGTCCCCAGTAGGATAATGGAGTCCTATGTCATTTTAAATTTTCTAGCAGCCTCAGTAAAAAACCTAAGTTAAGAAGGTGTGTTAGTTGGCTCTTTGCTGCTGTGACAAAATACCGGAGAATAGCAACTTACAGAAGGAAAAGTTTATTTTGGCTCACTGTTTCAGAGCTTTCAGTCCATGGTTAACTGGTTCCATTGCCATGGGCCTGAGGTGAGGCAGAATATCATGGTGGAAGGACACAGTAGAGTAAATCTGGTTACCTCATGGCATCTGGGAAGTAGAGAACGAGGGAAACACCCAGAGAGGAAGGGCCAAGTACCAGATATAGTCTCTAAGGCCATGACCCCATGACTCACTCCCTTCAACTAACGCCCACCTCCTGTCTGGGTGTGATGACCATTTGCTATGTGCTTCCTGGGAACCAAGAGGGTGAAGACAATCATGAGGGATTGAGACAGAGAGCTGAAAGGAACTTGCATCAACAAATATCCAGGATACTCTCAATAGCAAAACAAAACAACAAAAAGCCAAAATGAGTAGTTAACAGTGAAACCAGGAAGGAAGCAGTGGCTGCCCTGAGTCATATGCCCATACAAGGAACCTAGCATTTGGGGGTGACCCACACAGCCTGGAGGAACAGGGGGCTCAGACCATTCAAAGTGAGGAGCTGTATCAGAGACACCACCTAGAACCAAAATACTCACAGGGTCTCCTCCTCAGTAAAATGGTGGACCAAAAATTACCTACCTGTGAGCATGGGAAATGATTACAATATAGTAACTGGAAAACTGGGTGTCCACATATAAAAGAATGATGTTGGACTCTTATCTGATACCACATACAAAAATTAACTCAAATGGATCAAAGACCTACAGGTAAGACCTAAAACTATAAAACTTCTAGAGAAAACAAAAGGTTAAATCTTTACAGCTTTGTATTTGGCAATGATTTCTTGGACATGATAGCAAAATCAAAGGCAACAAAAGAAAATAAGACACACGGTACTTTGTGAAAAAAAAAAAAATTTTAAATTTGTGCATTAAAAGGCAGCCCTGGGCTGGGCATTTAGCTCAGTGGTGCCGTTGCCTGCCTTGCAAGCGGAAGGTCCTGGGTTGGATCCCTGGTACCAAAAAAAAGGCAATCCACAGAACAGAGAAAATATTTGCAAATCAATTATCTGATAAGGGATTATACCTGGAATATACCGAGAACTCCTAAATCACAACAAGAAATAAAACAAACAGCCCAATTAAAACATGGGCAGAGGACTTGAAGAGACATCTCTCCAAAGATGACACAAGGTGCTCAACATCTCCAAATATCAGGGAAATAAAAATTAAAACCATGAGATACCACCTAATACCTGGTAGAATAGCTGTCATAAAAATAAACAAAATAAGATGCTGGTGAGGATGTGGAGAAATTGGAATCTTGTGCACTGTTGGTGGGAATGTAAAATGGTGGAGCCATTATGGAAAACAGCATGAAGATTATTCAATAAGAGTAAAAAATAAGAGTTAAAAAAACAACTGCCATATAATCCAGAAACCCCACTTCTGGATGTATATTCTAAAGGATCAAAAACAGGATCTCCAAATGACATTTACACTTCCATGTTTATTGCAACATTATCCCCAATAACAGGTAGAAACAAGCTAAGTGTCCATCAGTGGATAAAGGGATAAAGATGCTCTGGTATAGCCATACAATGGGAAGGAATACTGTCATGTGCTACAGGATGGGTGAACTGTAGGGAACAGGGAAAGGGATGTTACTAGAAACTCTGCAGTAAGTCCTAGTCTCCTGTGAGCCACAGTACCACAAGGTGATTTACAGGAAAGGTAGAAAAATGAGACTGTGAAGAGGCTGAGCTTTTGGTCTGATCAGTGCTGCTCTGGGCAGCAAAAACGAAAGTCCCCGCTTACCGCACCTTTTATTCAGTACATCGGGAGAAACAAATGTAACAAATGACTTGCAGCGAGTTCAGTACATCCTGTGTAAATAAGATGTAACAGTCCAAGATCAAGGAGGAACTGAGTAGATGTTTGTTCCTCCCAGGATGTTTTCAACTCCCAGGATGTTTCTTATCCTGGAGAATCACAGACAGCATCACTGGATTGGAGGCCAAAATGGAGTTATGTCTCGGAATTCCATAGCTGGGCTGTAGGCAGGAGAACTAGACTAACCAAATGATTTTTCCCTAAAATTATGTAGCATTGCTCCCGACAGTGAACCATGAGGACAGATATTATCCAAGTAAAAGAAACTAGGCACAGGACAAATGCTGCATGATTCCACTTGGGTGACATAGCAAAAGTAATCCAACTCGTAGAAGCAAAGAGTGAAGTGGAGGAGGCTGGGGGCTGTCAAGGGCCATGAGGCTCTGTGTTCACTGGGCCTCCCATGAGTCACTAAACTGCCCAGGCTGCTCTTGAACTTGTGATCCTCCTGCCTCAGCCTCTCAGAGTGCCAGGATTACAGACATTTGTCACCATGTTTGTTAGTTCTTTTTACTATAGGCAAAAGAAGGAGAACTGGGCATGGTGTCACACACTGGTAATCCCAGTTATTTAGGAGGCTGAGGCAGGAGGATGGTGAGTTGGGGGTGGGTGTGCTGGGAAACTTAGCAAGACCCTGTCTCAAAATAAAAGGGGCTGGGGGTGTAGCTCAGTGGTAGAGTGCTTGCCTACCATGTCTAAGGCCCTGGGCTTGATCTCCAGCACTGAAAAAAAAAAGACCCTGGATCCAAGGCCCTGGTGGGGGCCCTCACTATTGTTGGCCCTCACTACACCTGGCTGCTACTGCTCCCCATCCCTCACTAGCTCCCCTTCACTTCACATCCCATGCCAGTTGTGTGTGTGTGTGTGTGCACACACGCGCACGCGTGCGCGCGCGCTATAGGCCTGTGGGGAGGAGCTCATGGGAGGAGAAGTTCTACTCTCTGCCCTGCTCTTCCTTTACTAACTTTAGATTCTAGTCAGAAGATGTTTAAGGCATGTGGCCTTCGGCTCCAGGCTCCTAATCGAAACATACTGGCTGGAAAATGCAGGCCCAACTCCTGTTCATTGATTTCTGTGTTCTCTCTGCCCAAGAGAGGGGCCTGTTAGCAGGCTTTGTCCATCAGCTTTCCTGGAAACTCCAGGGTACTTCCGAGAAGTGCGTGTCAGAGTTGGGGAGGTGCTGGGGATAGACAGCTGACAGATACCTGCTCTGGTTCAGTGGCTTCTCTGAGGTGGAGTGGGAGGAGAGATATAAGAAATGTATAACTCCTGACCTGCTAGAGGTCAGGTGTTCCAAGTTCATGTCCTCTGAGTACCAAAGAATAAATTCCAAGGGACAAAGGAGGTTGAGAGTAGGAAAGATTTATTAAGAGAAAACTCCTGAGAGACAGGAGGTGACTCGATTGGGTGGCCCCCAAGGCCCTGTGTCAGAGGCTATTTATACAGCAAAATCACAATGTGGGTACACCGTGAGTCAGATTACAATCAACCTATAGGATTACAAGTACTATACACCCACTTAGCTAATATTGATCCAACAGGGAAACGAGTCAGGTAGCAAGGGTACATGGAAAGAACAAAGGCATTTTGGGAAGGGAGAGAAGTATGGGTCCAGACATTCTGGTCACCCACCTATGGGCCTGATGCCTGGCTGAGCCCATGGGACCAGGTGGTGCTAATTACAATACAGTCTCAGGTTGCTGTTTATCTTGCAGGCCTGGCTATTGCATCTCCATCCTGAGGCTCTCTTCAGATTTGCCCCCAGCCACAATTCTGATGTTTCTGTTTTTTTGTGCTGACTTCCCTGAAGGTCCATCCAATCCTTCTCTGACTGAATATTAATTTCTATCTGACTTAGCTGCCTATATTAGGTGTAGAACCCAGCTCACTGCTTCCAAAGAGAACAGGGATTCCCTGGTTACTCAGTCGGAAATGGCCCGACCCCTCAACCTCCTGAGTGGCAGCACGCCCCAGAGCTGCCCTGTCATCCCTGCACTGCTGGGTCTCCAGGCAGCTGGACCCAAGGGACTGGTCATAAGGGAGGCCTCTGCAGACAGTGGACGGTGGGCCCTCGTCCCCAACAGAATGACTCAGTGCCTTGTCCAGGCTTCCTGTCTCTCCTTCTGGGCTTATCACGGGCCAGAGCCCTGCAGCAAACTCAAAAGCAGAGAAAATTGGCTGAAGGAGAAGAGGGGATCACAGTCTCATGGGGAGAGCAGGCTCCAGATCCCAACCCAGGGACAGGAGAGGCCTCTCCTTGGTCCCCTACTGTGGCACCAGCCCCTTGCTGCCCATCGTCATGACAAAGGGCAGGGTGGGCAGGTGGAACTTGCCAAACCTGTGCATGCAGATGGGGGCTTGTGCTCAGGTGTCAGGGACACACTTCAGTGGGCCTGTTTCTTCTCACACGAAGAGAAGCTCCCTTTGCAGTGAACCCTCTGACCCTCGTGGCACAAAGTGGCATATTCAGGAGTGTTGTTGCTATGGGTGAGGCATTACAGATGTTGCTTCTCTGAGACTTTTAAAATTACTGAATTATTTAAAAAACATTATTTAAAAGAGACAGCATCATTCCCCTGGGGTAATTTTCATTGCTTACACCCCCAACTTGAGCGGACTTCCAAGGCTCAGTGGGGTCTTTGAGGAGGAGCACCAGCAGCTGTGCTGAGGGGAGGGGTTCAGGTCAACTCCAAGGAGGAGGAGGAAGAGGGGAAAGAAGAGGCGTGTGGGAGGCTGGGGAAGAGGAGAAGGAGGAAGAGGAAGAGGAGGCGGAAGAGGAGGAGGAGGAGGAGGAAGCCATTGCTCCAGCAATGTAGACTCAGGGCCCTGTCCTCCTTGGAGTGGGGGACACCCAAACTCATGCCCCAGAACCAGGAACTCGCCACAGAACTGGCCCCTGGAGAAGGACCGTGCCTCAATCAGAGGCTCGTGGACATGAGCCATCAAAACCCAAGCAGACCAACTTAAGGAAAAAATGAGTTTTTAAAATCCTATTTCAGGCACTCAGGCAGGGAGGGTGGTGAGCTGGTCCTTCTGCCTCTCGTCTGTGCTTCCATCTCACGCTCTGCTTGAGTTTTCCCATCAGAGGATGTGGCCATACAAGGCTGGGCTCTGTCCCAGTGGCCCCTGGCCATGAGCGGCATGGGGTGCCCCTGGTGGCATGGGGTGGCTGCCACCTGAAGAAGTAGGAGCAGGCCGCTGGTGCTGCAGGTGCTGACGATGCCTCTGAGCTGTGCAGAGTAGGGAGGATTTCTAGTCAGCTCCCCACATGCAGCCGGTCACTGTGCCCTCTGGGCATGGGGGTATTTCTTCCAGGGTCCTTGTCTCTGCTGGAACAGTGTCTAAAGTGGGAAATCTCTGCACATCCACCTCTCTAAGGAGTCATATCTTTGGTCAGAAGTTCAGAGTTCAAATTCCTACAGATAGGGTGTCTGCACTGCTCCTTGGGGACCCTCTGTGATCCCTTCAACCAGAGGACAGCACCGACCAAGATGAGCAAGATGGGCAGCTTCACAAACACCAGGAGTATGTAGTGTGTCCTGTGAGAGGAACAGCCATCAGAGCCCAGGGGCCCCCGTCACTCCCTACCCTGGCACTGTGAGCTGAGAGCCAGCTGCAGAGCCAGAGGCCCTGCACCCACAACCCCACTCTGAAGACCTCCCAGGAATCTTGCTCATGATCCAACCTTGAGGGCTCCTTGGATACAACCTCAGCTGGTCTTGCATGAGCACTTCTTCCTTTGTAATTTTATTTCCGGGACTTCCTTTTGCCAAAAGAAGATCTAAAACTACACTGAATGTTTAAATACAAAACAATTCACCAGAGTAAAAGACACATTTGCATTAATCCCCTCAAAATGCTCCCGCTCACTTCAAACACTTATTGCATTGTTCTTGCCACTTTCAGAAGCAATTCGGGAAGTCATCTTTTGTGAATGTCTTTAGAAATTGTGATTAAAAAATAACAGTGAATGTGGCTGCCAAGTGCCATTCAAATGGAAAGGCAAGCTTGTAAAAAACATGACAGTGTATCCTCATTCCACTTCCATCATGGGATCTGGCACCATGTGACTTCCGGCTCTTCCCCAAAGTCAAAATGACCATGAAAGATAAACATTTTGAATCAAATCAGGACATTAAGCCAGACATGACAGCACAAGACACTCATGAAAGAGGACTCCCAGAACTGCTTCAGAAAATGGCAAGAACAATGGGATAGGGATGTTCTAAGTGAGTGGGAGCATTTTGAGAGGCATTAATGGCACTGTGTCTTTCACTGTATTAAATTTTTAAAAACGTAAACACATATTATATTTCTCTATCACACCTCACAGATCTCAGCCCAATAGAAACCTGGAGGCCACCACATGTAGGCTATGTTTTCCTGCCTTTGTCCCCCTAATGCCAGCTCCATGTCGACAAATCACTCTTCCTGCTGTCTGTCCCATGATGTCTTAAATCATGGAGATTGGTACCTTATCTCCCCTGGCACCCAGAGGCCACCAGTGCTTTTCTGTTGACCACTGAATGGTGATGCTGAGAGAGGAGAGTTCTGCAGAGGGCTTTTCCAGTGAGGGCTCAATGGGGAGGTGGTGGGTGAGGACTCAGGGGGTGGAGGGTGAGCTTGGGGTTTTAATCTGAATGTAACAAGTGCTGGCATCGTTGACAGAAACAGGCATAGTCCTCAGGCTTGGGTCCCATGGAAGAATCCCAAGTAGGGTAGCAGAAGAAAGGAGCTGAGAGACTTACCTTTTGTAGGACCCAGAGGACACCCCCATGTTGCTCTCGTCACTAGATTCAGTAAGTGGTTTGGAGGACGTGGTGATTGTTCCCACTAGACACAGGCAGAGTTGACCACAGGTGAGTGTACAGTCTGGGGGTTTATTCATGACTCTAATGCAACCCTATCCCAGGGCCCTCATCAGGAGACCCCACTGTCCTGGACTGGAAAGTTTCATCTCTTCAAATACAGTTTCTTGGGCTTCTATTGAGTCAACTGACACCCAGCACACAGTCATTTTTTCCCATCATTTTCAAGTGTGTAAGGAGAAATAAAAATGAAGTAGAAAAAAATCACCATCATTTATTCATAGTCTCTTGCCACTTACTGTTGGGGAAAATAAAATCCTTGGTCCTTTCCACTCATGTGGAACCCAAGCTGGGCTCAAAGACCGAAGGTTCCAAAGATGAGGTGCCCAGTGACTAGGGTGATCAGGGAGAGGGAGGCTCTGGTGAGTAGAGAGTGCACTCCAGTTAAGCAGTGAACAACTATGAGGAATGAAACATTTTGTATGAGGTGAATTACGGTGAGCAGTTTTGTCATAGACTCCTGAGACCCTCTTGGCCCTGAGCATTCCTGACCTGTAGCTTTTTTTTTTTTTTTTCAGCATTAGGGATTGAATTTAGGACTTTCTTGCTAAATTATATAAATTATTTTTGAGACACGATCTGACTAATTGCTAAATTGCTCGGGCTGGGCTTGAACTTGTGATCCTCCTGCCTCAGCGCCCCCAGGGTTCTGGGATTACAGATTTGCACGGCCACATCTGGCTTGTAGCTAGCCTTTATTTTAGTCCTTGCCATGGCAAGCTCTTTGCCCAAAGGTCCCCAGCTGCCATCTCGCCAGGCAGCTTCCAGCTGAGCTCCAGATATTGTAATTCCAGTCCTAACAGTTCCTGTGGAGGCCCCTGATTGCCATATAGGTTGGTGGTCTTATGGGCCCCACCAGGAGCCCTAAATGCCTTCTCCTTAAAGCTCCACACTGGGCATATTCTTTTGCTTCTCTATCCCTCGCCCACATGTCTTACCCAATCCCCTTCCTGTCCCCAGAGACCTTTTGAACTTCCCCTACATGGTAGTTCTGGGGAAGTCTTGCTTGGAGAACCCTTTCTGGACACACTTCACCCAAGGGCACCTCACTGGTTTCAACCCTAACAACACATGGGCCATTTGAAACCCAACACCATGTGCCCATCACCATTGCCCGGATGGATGTGGAGCTGAGGATGGCTGAGCACCAACGAGCTAGGTAGAAGCAGAGAGCTCATTCTCAGGGAGCACCAACAGCAGAAGGAAGACTCTGGAGCCCCTTGGAGGGCCTGAGGCACGAGGGAGGTGCCAGGCAGCCAGAGAGCTCCCTGATGTTGACTTCCAAGTGAAGCCTTCCTTTCCAGCTATTTGAGCACCTCTTCCTCACTCTTCTCCAGAGAGTTAGAGGAGGGGACCCAGACAGGAGAGATGCTGCAGAACACTCAGCAGCACTCTGGGTTGCAGGCCTGGGGGTGGTCAACACTGGACCCTTTGGGTTGTCCAAGCTCCCCACTCCCCTATGTCACAACAGATCTGGGGTATGAGTTCCAGGAGATTGGCCACTCCCTAGACATGCCTTGGGACCCTCCCTGAACATCCAAGGCCCACCTAGGGATCCAATGGCAGAATAAGGCTGCTAGGGCTGTGTAGCCCCAGAACAGTAGGATGGGGCCACGGGTTGCTGAAAGAGAGGTCCATATCCTACCTCCACCCCAAGATCTACCAGCCACGCCCAGTGTCAGCTGGATACCTCAGAGGCCCTCAGGGATGAAGACAGATGTGCTGGGTGACTGCTCTTCCTTGCTACTCTCCACTCTCCCCCATCTGTCTGTCTGCCTGCCTGCTGGTCTGTCTTTCTGTCTGCTAGGCTGCTGGTCATTTCCCTCCAGCCCTTGGTGGGAAGGAAAACAAGCACCGACTTTTTCCATTCTAAGCACCAGGGTCTGGTGGTGCAGATGAGCAAGTTCTTACCTGGGTCAATGGCCACTTTAACTGGTATCCCTTGGTCAGTTCCACTTCTCTGAATCCCACACCAGTAAGTGTCCGAGTCATCTTGCCTGAGCCCCTCCATGGTCACCTGGAATGCCTGGGCCCTCTGATTGTCCCTGATGGATACCCGGCCATTCTTCTCTTCTTTCTCTGACCCTCTGGTTTTAACAAGGATCTCACATACATACCAGCTTGCTCCTCTACACCACCACTTATTGTGGGTCTTCCATCTTGGGCTATAGTGACACTGCACGGTCACAGACCCTCCTGCTGAGCCCCTCACAGACTCCGGGCCTTGGAGGGAGAAACAGCCTGGAAAATAGAATCACCAAGTACAGCTCCCATCACCCTGAGCCAGGCCGATGTCCAGAGCCTGGATGAGGGTCCCAGCTACTCCCTTCACCCCAACACACCTGGCTCTTTGCATCCACCTCCTCCGAGGTCCAGCCTCCTGTAACCCCTCAGTGAGATGCTTCGGCTCTCCAGACCTCCTTTTCCTATACTTGTGACACTTCTGATTTTCTGCACCTTCTTGTCCTCTCAATGCTGTGCTTATCTGATCTCTTCCTTCTTTTCTGTCTGCTCTGTCTCTAGGCTTCAACCACTTCTCTCTTCTCTTTCTCTCTCTTTAAATCTTGGTGTGGCTGATGGTGTGTTAATTAATATTTAACACCAGCTATATGTGGAAAAATATCTCTGGTTCATAACATTTTGCCAATTTCTGTGGTATAAATGCTCCCATCATGGCTGGTGACAGCTATCAATATGTTGCCAATGGACACACTGAGCAGAGATGTCCACAGACTACTCTCGTGAGCCGGTATGAGCTGGCTTCATATGCCACAGGGAAGCCCAGAGTCCCCTTCCAGCCTTCACCTTGTCTCACCTGTGTCCCCAGAGAGGGATTCCCTCCATTGCCATGGCTTCAGTTGTTGCCTGCATCCTGGACCCCCCAAATCCATACTCATAGCTCAAATTCTCCCCTTTGCTCCAGCCCACCATTTGTAAGTACACTCCAGCTATCTCTCCCCCATCCAATAGGCACGGAACTGAAGGTGCTGCCTCTCCCAGCCCACCTACTCTTCTATCTCCTCTCTCTAGAGGCTCCAGCTGGAGGTCTCTGAGAAGAGCAGGTCTGTCTGAAGGTGCTGCCTCCTCATACTTTGGACCTTCTCCCTGCACTATTTCAATTTACTTGAGATTTGCATTTGTGGTCAGCATGATAATGCCCACCTAGATGTTGACATCCTAATAGTCTGAGCCTATGAATGTGTCCCACACATGGAAAAAGAGAATACGCAGTTGTGATGAAAGATTTTAATTTTTATGATCCTGTATTTAATTTTATGATCCTGTATTATCCATTGTGTCCTTGTAAGTGGGAGAGTGAACAGACAGGTGCTGGGGATGTAGCTCAACAGCACAGCGCCTGCCTGGCAAGTCAAGGCCCTGAGCTCAATTCCCAGTACCAAAAAAAGAAAAGAAAGGCAGTTAGGTTTGATGATGATCTGTTGCTGGCTTTAAAGATGGAAGAGACGCCATGGGCCAAGGAAAGCACAGGGCTTCTGGAAAAGGCAAGGAAGCAGATTGTCCCTTACGGCCTGAGAAGGAACATAACCTTGCTATTGGCCAGGAAGATCATTTCAGGCTCCTGATCTTCAGATCATGAAGTAAGATCATGAATTTGTACTGTTCTAAGCCACTGAGTTGGTGGCAATTTGTTACAGCAGCCATGGGAAATTCACATGATATTCAATCGGCAGAAGCAGCTTCGTGACCTTCAGATCAGCAACTCCACTCCGGAGCCTCCCTAGAGAGCTTAGTGTCCTCACAGGTCCTGGGTTCTCTGCAAGCGATTTCAATACCGTGCAAGTGCGCCTCACAATTATCTTGGTTTGGCCTCTGCTGTTGCAGTCCGCAGGGACAGCATGATCAAACCAAAAGACTGTGAACTTTGCATGCAGAAAGATGCATCTATCACAGACTAGTTGGGAAACCTTGGGTGAATTACTTCCCCAAGTTTCACTTCCTTATTTATAAAATGGCAATGCTACTAACTCCCTTATGTAGCTTGTTACAAGACTTAGATGTGTGTCCAGTATATTTGGGGGGTGTTTTGTCAGCAATTGCCCATCAACAGGGCAGGACCTTGCCGATGCCCGGATTGTGGCAGCAGCTTCCAGGTCCATAGCATCTATCTCCGATCTCCTCTCCGTACTGCTGCCAGAGTTACGTCCTTGAAACCGTCTACCACTCAGCTGCACTTGCTGGGAGCTTGAGTCTTTCAAGATCCTCCTGCAGCCATCCTCCCCTGCCTCACAGTCACTTAAATGCTTCATTTTGGCATTTATGTCTTTTTTGCAAGCTGGCGCCTGCTTCCTGTCCAGCGTCATTCCCTGTCTCTCCTTGTCTCAGACTTTCTAAGTTGCCTCCACTTTTCTCTTCCCCTCCTGATGATGTGTCCTCATGTACTGCTTCCTGCCCGCAAGCACTGCTCCAGTGTCTGCCCTCCTCCCAGTCGTATATGGCATCATCCATTGCTGTGCAAACTGTAGCTAACCTTAGAATTGAAATGATTATGACCAAGATCATGGTGACCTGCTTCTTTTAAAAAACAATCTCTAACTCTATCGGTATCTACTATGCGCCAGACACTGAGACCAGACAGCTAGGAGTAGGGACAGAGAGAGGGGACAGGAGGAGGGAGAGGTGGAGGGAGGGAGGGAGAGAGAGAGTGAATAGTAAAGACAGAAGCTCTGCTTTTTGTGCACATCCTTGTAAAGAAGACAGGAAAAGAGAAGCTAACTGAAGTAAAATACCAATGTAAAGTTCAGGCTCTGCAGGAAGGTCCAGTAAAGCAGCTGCAGGAGGAGGTGGCATGGGAAAGACTTTGAGAATGCACAGAGCTTGCACTTTGGAGGAGGTGTGGAAGGTGACTGGGAGGAGGGCAGACACTGGAGCAGTGCTTGCGGGCAGGAAGCAGTACATGAGGACACATCATCAGGAGGGGAAGAGAAAAGTGGAGGCAACTTAGAAAGACGTTAATTCCAGTACTGATATAACAGTAATTATTAAAAAAAAAAATTCAAAGGCCATTAACAGGGACTTAGACTAGTAAGTTATGGTGCACCTACAGTATGGCTATAAAAAAAAGACACCTGGGTATGGTGACACATACCTGTTGCCCCAGCTACTAGGGAGGCAAAAGCAGGAAGATTGAAAGTTCAAGGCCAACCTGAGCAACTTAGCAAAAACCTACCTCAAAACAAAATATAAAAAGGGCCGGGGGTATAGCTCAGTGGTAGAGCTCCCTATGTTCAATCCCCAGACACATTTTCAGACAATGATAGGAGACATGACTGAGATATATTATTATTAGGTTCTTTAAAAAGTTCCCTAACAGGGGCCGAGGATTTAGCTCAGTGGTTCCAGTGTTCGATCCCTGGAACCAAAAAAAAAAAAAAAAGTTCCCTGAAAAAAAAAAAAAAAAAAAAAGTTCCCTAACAAACTGTATGTGATTCCATTTCTGTTTTTTCTATAGAACATACATAGAAAACATGTGTTTGAAACTTTTAACAGTGGTTAGCACTGAGATTGGCTTTTGGAGGGGAAATTTCTCTTTCTAAATCATACATTTCTATGGGTATAAATGTTTGTGAGGGCATTAATGGATAAAAGAGTAAGAAAAAAATCTGAACAATAAAAAAATGAGGAAGCTAGGAGAAGAGTTGTTAAAAGCCAGCAGCTGCTGTGAACTAAAATCAAATGCAGGAGTCAGCAAATAGGGACACGTTTTTTCCTAAAAGAAATATAACAGAGTTCCAGTAGAGAGGAGAGGTTCAATACAGATTATGTTTGCAGCCATCACAAGCAGCAGAAAAGACATACAGAGGCATTGCTGTAGATGTTCCATCAAGCCCAGTATCCATGACTGAATGTGACTGCAAGGCATCCACAATGTGGTTGGGTCCACTGAAAAAAATGTGTGTGGGGTTGTGTAGGGGGCTGTAAACATGGATAACGACGGATGGAGCTATTGATTAGGCTTATGAGTGAGAACCGGAGGCCAAGGCAGGGTGTAAGTTCAAGCCAGGCCTGGGCAACTTAACTCAGTGAGGCCCTGCCTCAAAAGCAAAAAGCAAAAGGAGCTGGCAGTGCAGCTCAGTGCAAAGGCCCTAGGCTCAATTCATAGAAAAACAGCAATAGAATTAGTTTGAGAGGAGAAGAGGGTAGAGGCAGAGCTCTGGGCACAGAGCCAAAGGCTTCCAAAGTAGAAGGCTCTTTAAATTGTAGTTTTTCATTTTTTGTGAATCTGAGATGTAAGCTTTCTCCTTTGAATCAGTCCTTCCCGTGTGCAAAAATCCTTGTCAAAATACTCTCAAGGTATGGCATTTTGTGTCTCTGTAAGTGTAGGAGCATGCATGTGAGTGTGAACAGGCATGAGTGTGTCACCATGGAGATGTGGATATGGATGGAATGTACGGGGTGTGACAACATTCAGGTGTGTGCCTTTGAGTTCACCGTGGCGGTGGGGGTGTGTGCGCACGTATGTGTGATTGTGCACACACCCATGTCCAGGGCTTCTCACCCAGCCCTTCTGCTCAGCCTCCAGGGTAGCCACATGGTGGGATAAAGAAGGTAACATTCTGGGATCAGGGTCACATTCCCACTTATGCATCCTAACTGTGTCTTTTGTTATCAGCCTCACATCTAACCAGCCCCCAGCAGGCATCTTGTGCACCCAGAGCTCCTCTGCTTCATGTGCTCCCCTCCCCGAGCCTGCACCCCTTTGCACAATGGTGCTGTCCCTGGGATGCCCTTTCTGCTTGCTGAAAGGACTGATCGTTTCCTTTAAGGGGCAGCAAAGGACCAGTCTCTGAGACACTTTCTGCAGCTTGCCCAGTGGGAACGGCTTGCTGTTCTGAGCACATCTCTACTGGGATCTCATTGTGTCCTGTCCTTGGTGGTTCTTCAAAAGTATAACTCACTCACCAGGCTCTCTGTGGTCTTCTTTAACAGCCAGCCCCATTTCCCTTTCCCCTTCATCTCCTCAGGGCCCGATGCACCCTGGACATTATGTCGGGCCCAGTGCACTTCTGCAGAATGAATCAACAAAACCGCCCCTCATTTTGGTGGACAAGGCGGGTCTCCTTAAGGGACTCATGACCTCTAAGGTTGCTCTGCTCCTGTAGTATCAAGCCCCCAGCCCAGCCCCACTCACCTGTGAGGCTGAGAAGGAGCAGAGCTGGGGGCAGCCACATGGTCCTACTTTCCTGCTCACTGCTCTGAACTACACCAAGCAGCAAACAGATCCAGCGGGACTGTCCAAGGATTGGCTGAGCCCAGGCTCACCACTTCTGCTGTCCAGATTGCCTTTGATCTTCTGACTCATTCACTTCCTTTTATAGAGTGGGTATTTCCTGCTTTTAATTATTCAGCAAAGAGGGCGTCCTTTCTTGGTAGAACTGGGTTATCAGCTAAGAATGTCCTCACTAGGTAGAAAAGAGGAGGCAAGGGGACTGTGCAAGGTGAGGGGGCCCAGGAGAGACAAGTCTTCAGACTAGCGGGGGTGGGGCATCTAGTCTTTCAGGCCTTGAGTTGAGGCAGACAACACCTCAGATGTTAACTCCAGGAGTGGATCTGCACCAGAGTGATGGACCACAGCAGCAGGGAACCCCAACTCACGTGGACCATCGTTGGCTATCAGGACATTTGGTCAGGTGTCATAGCCAAGTGTATAAAAGTACAGACTGGGGTCAGACGGATTAGGCTCTTACCCTTCTTACAAGCCTTGGTCAACTTACTTAATCCTCCCAACCTGTTTTTATTCTTTTGTGTGCGTGTGTGTGTCTATTAATTGGGCTTACATGATTTTTGTGAGAGAATTAAATGAGAACACCTACATGAAGTTTCAGTTCTGAGAAACAAGTGGGTTGGGTCCCCAAACGGCAGAGCAGTGAATGCTTCTTAGCAACTCAGCTTCTCCAGGACAAAGTGTCTGGAGTCTGGAAAGCAATAGCTGGGAGAGGAGTTGAAGTGAGTGGAAGTTACCTGGGAACCATGAGGGAACTGCAGGCAGCTGCTGCTGGGAGGCAAAGAAAAACTAGCAACTTTTTTGCTCACAGAGAACCGAAAACTGCATCAGGACCAGGAGAGCCATCTGCAGTTGGATAGGACACTGCTTCTGGAACAGCCTTCCATGGTCAACGGATGGTGGGGAATGACTTTGGTACAAGCGCCGGCAGCTGCAGCCCACAGAAGGAGCTGGTGGGGATGCCATTATGGGGAAGGGCTGAGTGTTTGAATCTGGGTCCCAGTGCAGGCCCTTGGCTGCTTCGCATTGCCAAATTCCCAGAGTGCATGAGGCAAAGAGAGGCAGGGGCTGGTGAACACAGATCTGGTTCCTGCGGTCAGAGGCCAGGTTCGGCCTGAGTTACACAGGATGGGAAGCCCACATTGGTATCATGGTCTCACTGTAGGCAGATCTCTATACCCAGCACTGTTCTGGGGGCGGAGTGCCACCTTAAGACTTCCAGCATGAACAGAAACATGTCCTGATTTGAGCTCTTCTCCTTAATCCTAGGCTGAGGAAAAAAGCCACGCATCCAAAATAATAGGAAATTGTCTTTATTATTCTTTGCATCATTTTTTATTTTACCTTTTAATTTTTAATTCTTTACTTTCTTTCTGTATACCCCCATACTTTTTAAATTTAATGCATAAACATATAACTCCCTTTATTAGAGAAATTGTACAAGAAAAAAAAAAAGAAATTGTACATATTGGTAAATATGGTCAATGGTCACATCTATGGGTTAATTCTTTAAAAATCAGAATCAATAATTAGGATAGATTCTACGTTCTCTTTGTTACATTGTGAAGTGTCTTGTGTAGTCATATTTTATTGTTGGAATGACAGCTTGTACAAATTTCAAAAAAATTAGAAGATACATATGAACATCAAGCTCTCCTCCTCCTTCTGCAACTGTCTAAATGATTTTCTTCATCACTTCAGCATGCCTGCATGGGTGAACGGAACACATAGGAGGTGGAGGGAGATGAGGGTGATTTTCAATGGTCACTTTTCTTCACATGATCTTTACTGATGTCTTCATACATGTGCTCAACTGTTAAAGGTTGCCGTTGCTCATCACAGCCGAACAACCATAGTCACGGTGCCTGGTAATACTTACCATAAGTGATGTATAAGTTGTAAGTTCTCGTCTGTAAAATAGCACATTCACCTCCTGCATCAGTTTTAGCTTTACAAGCTTCTACTATTTTCCTTGTATCTAAAGTAGCCTCATCTGTTTCCAACAATCCACTTTCTTTATATTCTTCCATGTCTGCAGCTTCTCCTTCATCTTCCTCTTCTTCCTCTTCACAGAGTGCTGAGCAATCTTGGAGTTTTATACTCTTTGTTTTCCAATGTAATCTCCTTAACTGCTTCAGTTATTCCTGCAATACTTGTGTTGTGATATGTATCTACCCATCCCCCATCACCATCATCATCTTCAATGATAGCTTCCAATTCATCTGAATATTCCATCTGTTTACCGCGTTTGTAGCATGGCACATTTTTGGTTACCAAAAATTGTTTGCCTGTTGATAGGTATGTTTTCACTTTTAATTCTTCCCCTGTAGCTCATTGCCATGTTGGGCAGTGGTGGACTAAGTGATCTCCAGCTGCCACAAACACTTCTGGGGTGATTACACCTGTTTCCTTAAATTTTGATTTCTTGAGGACTGGGGTCAGGTACTCAGCCACTTCCAGTGCCTTTCCCTTCACTGTGTTAATCACATTCTGCATCCTGGGGCCCGAGCAGCTGCCCGCCCAGCGATACTGTGGGGAGGAAAGCGGACAGGGACCGGGGAGTCAAGCGTCCCCGATGCGATGCGGACGATTCTCATCAGTGCCCTCCTGGCGGCACATGAAGGGACGGCTCGGGATAGGACGCGACGCGACGCGGTGGGACGGGGCGCGATCCTCACGCCCCAGGCAGCTCACGGCGGGCCGGGCCCAGTTATCACCGGGCCGCGTGGGACGGTGGCTGGGCCCAGGGGTGAGCTGAGGGAACAGGCGGGTGCACACACATCCCTCGCCCTCTCGGGAGCCGTCTCCTTCCTTTTGCTTCAGTCGCACCCCTTCCGGCTCCCCTTCCTCCTCTCACTCGCCGTAACTCCGCTAGCCATTTGGGCCTCACGTGACACTTGACACCCCTCACGTGACGCGAGAAGGGCCGCGCTGGGCGGGATCAGCCGCTTCGCCCCTCCCTCCGGAAGCATAACAGAGTGCGCCTGCGCATAGCCGCCTGTCACGCTCTCCTCACCTGGGACCTTATCTTGCTTTTGGTTACGGAATAGGAGGCCTGAGTGTAGAGCGGTTTTCGCCTTTGTTTCCCTCTCATACTTTCCCCTCCCATGGCGCCTAAAAAGCTACTGCTGATACTGCGGAGCTAGTTAGTATCGGCTCTATGATGTGCGTTCTTCCAGTAGGAGATTTTCCGAGGGAGCGAGGTAACCATCTGGCGGGAAAGTATTGCGCGTTCCCCCCCATACTTTAAAAAAAATCTTATTTGTACATTTTAGGTATACAATATAATGACATTCATCATTAGAGATTTGTACCTTTACATAATATATCTTTTTTTTTCTTTTTTTTTGGTACTGGGGATCGAACTCGGGACCTTGTGCTTGCGAGGCAGGCACCAGAACCACTGAGCTAAATCCCTGGCCCCTACATAATATATCTTGATTCTTATTTTTCCCCATATCATGCCCTCCCTTCAACACTTCCATCCCTATATACAAAGTCTTTGTTTCTATTTTTTCATTTTCTCACGTTAATTCCGTTCCCCTCTTTCCTTTCCCCTACCCCTCCCACTTCCCCTTCCGCTTTGCACCTTTTTTTCCTATTTCAGATTATCTATTATACATTTTGATCTTTATGTACACTTTCCGTTTCTCACACCAGAGAAACTATTTGGTATTTATGCATGTGTGTCCTGTTTATTTTACCCTCCCCCCCATACTTTTAGTCCATTTTGTCATTTTTTTCTTTTATGAGCATGTCTCTGTATGTGTGCTTCTCTTCCTCTTGCCTTTTTTTCTCCCAATATAGTTTATAAAGGGTAAGGGAATTCACTCTTGTCCTTTTATAGCCATATCTCTTCACCTGATTTCTTTCTCCTGTTCTTATTCATTCTCAATTGTTTTCTTTCCTCTACCCCTCTTCATTTGTCCCCTTTTAACTTTATCGCTAATATTTATATCAGTCATAAAATCTTTTGCCATCCCTATTTCTCACTACCAATTTTGTACCCAGTTTTCCCTGTTACCCTCTTCTAAATATATTACATATCCTTACCATCATTAGAATCTGTCGCCCTCCTCTTATTTCTCCTTCCCATACCACAGAGTGGAGAACTTAAGAATGGGGTGGAAGAAAGAAAAAAAACTTCTTTTTTCCTCTTCTCTTCCCCATTCTGGTATTATCTGGTCCCAAACCCCTGAGCTTTAGATAACTGATTATATAAAATTACTGTTGAATGCTATTTTTTATTATCAGAGGAGACTCAGCCATCACATTTAGTATACATCAACTGTGAGTCAAGATTTGAGTTGTTGTGATGCTTACACTATAATCATGGATTTCTTCTCTAGGGTAAAGGGAGACCCAAAATAGGATCTCATAGTAAGTATTTCTCAACTGGCCCCAATAGATACCACTGTAACTGATTAGCTGGTTACTGCTGTAGCTGATTTGATTGCATAGAAATAATCCTGACTCAGTGGACAATTTAGAGCCAGTGAACCTGACTGCCAAATCCACCATCACACCCAGGGAGAGGGACAGTCAGAGTTCCTAACCGTAGAACTCAGACTGAATCCGACTCTGCAAGAATACCTGCAACCTGGCAGAAAGAAGTCCTGAGTCTGAGTTAGCTTCTGTAGTGTGGTAGAGGGATCACAGGAGTTATTGGGGTGTGAGCACTCAGACTCTCTGGCAAAGAAGTTATTGGGAATCACATATGAAATGTTTCATTGGAATATTTAATCTGTGTTCCCACCGGACATCTTATAGGTTCTTGATTTATTTAGTAATGTGGGGTTGTGTCAAGTTCTTTTATGGAAACTTAAAGTTTCCTGTGTTTATTGGGTTGGTACTTGTGTATATTTGTTCTTTCATTGGCTCTGATTTAATAAGTGTCAAAGCTCTCTCCCTTATCTCAGCTCTTTATCTAGTTTTTTTCACCTCAAATCGGAAGATAATATTATTAACATATTGCTTTATTTTTTTCCAAACATGAAAATTCCTCCTCCCAAGTTTTTAAATTCCTCATACTTAGCTCCCTCA